GGAGAAGTGGTGCCTCGATGCGCACCCGGGATCCGAACCCGGGCCACCAGCATTGCAGCGCGCGCACTTAACCACCAAGCCACAGGGCCGGCCCCATTTGTATTTCTTTGATGAAGTCTCTTCAGATATTTTGCCCATTTTTAAATTTGTTGGTTGTTTTCTTATTGTTGAGTTTTGAGAGTTCTTTATTCAGTATCTTAAATATGATATGGCTAGGTGTGTTCTTTTTGATATTTATCCTATTTAGTGTCTTCTGAACTTTCTGGATCTGTGGTATTAATCTGGGGAAACTCTCAGTCATTACTTTAAAATATTCCTTCTGCTGCACCATTCTCTCTCTTTTCCTTCAGGGATTCCAATTACCCATCTGTGGGAACATTTAGTATTACCCCACAACTTTTGGGTGCTCTGTTTTTTTGTCCTTATTTTTGCTTTAACTTCCTTTTTCCTTTGTGTTTCAGTCTGGGTAATTTCTACTGTCCCATCTTCAAGTCCACTGATTCTTTCCTTGGCTGTGTCAAGTCTGCTGAGAGGCCTGTTGAAGGCATTCCTCATCTCTGTTCCTGTGTGTTTTATTTCCAGCATTTCCCTTTGATTCTTTCTCTCTCTCCTGCAATAGTTACTCATACGATCTTGCATGTTGTTCAAATTTTCCATTAATGCCTTTTACATATTAATTATAGTTCTTTTAAATTCCCTGTCAGATAATTCCAACACCTGCGTCATACCTAAGTGAGATTCTGATAATCGCTTTGTTTCTTGGGAGTGTCGTTTTTCTTGCTTATTCATATCTTGTAATTTTTACTAATAACTGGCCATCTTGAATAAGATAAGGGAGACTGAGATAAATAGTTTTTATGCCTGAAAATAGGTACACCTTTCCTTCTGCTGAGCCTTTAATGCTGCTTCTAGATGACTACATCCCGGAGTGGAAAAAGAAGGCCCTCTCTCAGGTTTTGAAAGGCTTTGTCAGTAAGCTGCCAATTATTAATATTCTTCCCTCTGCTTTTTCTACAAAGAAACACATTCCCAAAAAGAGCCTGTGATTAAGCAGGAGATAATTAGTATATCCCAAAAAGATGGATCTATCTCAGCCAAAAGCAGAGAAACATGAAATGTGGGCAGCATGACTGGGGAGGGGCAGCATTAGTGGAGAGGGGGCAGGTAAAGACAAGATTATTTGGGATTCTCTGAAATATCTGGATGATTCCCTACGTCCCAGTGTGGCAGACTGACTGCATGAATGACATCATCCCCACCCCTCCGTGCATCACACCCTTTGCTATGTAACTGGGTGTTCCCCTACAGTGGGCATGCTGACTGGCCCTGCAGTGGGCATGCTGACTAGACCTGCAGTGGGCATGCTGACCGGCCCTGCAGTGGGCATGCTGACCGGCCCTGCAGTGGGCATGCTGAC